GTTTTCCTTATTTCAGTTGTGCAACTGAGACACCAGAGTGGTTGGTGAAAGTTTAGCACGTGGCACAAATCGAAAATATTTAATTGACATATTCCGAACACATGGTCCGTAGATGTTTTCAATCAATTGGAAAATGTCCGGGACCGACTGGGAAGTCATCATTCCAGATAGGGTCGGCAAACAATCGGTGGATTTTTCGCAGGGCAAAGTTTCGCTTTTAACACAAAAGCTTCGTCAGGCCAAGTGAGTAAGTAAGTAGGTTGATTGGGTTTCAAGGCAGTCAGGGAACCAATCCGTGAGATTCCTTATGACTAGTGAGTTGATCAGTGGTGGGTTTTTAGTCTGATGTTCCTGTTTGTTAGTTAGTGGGGATGACTAAGATTTACGGTAGATCGGTTAGGGAGATTTGTGTCCATGATTAACCCGGATTTTCCGTCCTTACTTTTTCAGTGTAGGACACATTAATGGAAAATTCCTTTTGGGATCGTTCACAGATTTCGTTCACCTGTGCTGGTCGAAGTGTGCTGGGACAATTGGTCTGGGGATGGGGTTGGGTTAGTTAATTGGATATAACTCTACTTGTATTTCGTACTTTTAGACCCGGACCATTTCGCTGATAACTGCGCACAGCCTCGTGTCATCTCGGCTGATCTAAGACCGCTCTCCACAAGTTTGCGAGTTCCACCCCTCTATTCTATGCACGCTGGGACGCTTGGCGATCTCCACCGCCTCGGCCACCAGTCGCTGTGGTGTGAATCTTAAACCCCGTCTCTGGATGTCCACACTCTCTAAATCTATCCTATGCCCAGTGTTTGGGGCGTGTCCTGTCATTGCCAAATCTTTGACTAACGCCTGGTATTCCTCTGCGTTTCTCGGTGGTCTCTAAATAGAACAATCACGCTCACCGATGCTGGTGTGCAATTCCGTGGCTGTCCAACCTATATAAACCTATATAAACCACTTTATTTTGCATTTTGTTTCTGGTCCTATCAACCGGAAGGCGATCCTTCAAATTCACCAACACCGATCGTAAAGCCTCCCCCCTCTGGAATGCTTCTCTAATGTTATCTGTATTCAGTATCCCTCTAATGACTTCAGATGTCCCTGTTTTTTATGGAATGACCGCTGTTCCAATCCACCCCTTGTTGGGCCTTGGTGTTGGCACCAATACCCATCTTAGTTGCCGCAAATTTAAACCCACTGGGTTTCTTTACCTCAAGTTGTGCTGCTCTTCGGTCGACCTCCTCCGTACACGGTGCTCTCACTCCCCTAAACATCGCTGAAGCTATGCTAGCACAAACTGCTTTTGGATGTGCAGAGGAGTAGTTTGAGACCGCACCGCTCTCTGTTGATTTCCGGTATACAATGGTTTTTAATTTCCCACTACTCTTGTGTGTCATACAGTCAAGGAAGGCCAGTGTAACCGATGTGGACTCCAGCTCCATGCTAAACCTAATGTGAGGGTCCAAAGTGTTCAGCTATTGAAAAAAGTACGTCCCGCTTTATCACGACGAACGTGTCATCTGCTTAACGCCAGAAAACCCTTGGTGGACACTCGAATCCGTTTAAGGCTTTCTGCTCAAAGTCGTCCATCTAAATGTTGGCCAAAATCAGGGATATGGGTGATCCTATCGCTAAACCTTGTTCTTGAGATTAAATAATTGAGTCGAAAACAAAATGACTGAGGTTTAGGCATACCTTTATGTCTTCAGCTATCTCGTCTACGGAGAGTTGTGTTCGTTCTTGCAGCGTTGTGTCTGCCAGTAAAAGTCTTCTCGCTACTTCCACCGCGTCCGCTTTGGAGACATTGGTGTACATCGATTTGACATCAGCGCTAACCAGAACTTCGTCTAGCTCAATCTGTAATCCAACTACTTTTTTGGCAAAGTCATAGGAATCTTGGATGTGTGTAGGTGACTTGCCGGCAAGTGGTTTAAGGATACCTGCTAGAAATCTGGCCAGCTCATTTAGTGTTGAACACATGCCATCCACTGTAGGTCTTATGTGGACACCCTCCTTGTGAATTTCGGTAACCCGTAAAGTCGTGGTTGGATTGCACTTTGAGGGTACTATCGATACCACTTGTCTTGACCCAGAGAGTTTACCATAAATCTTAGATACCTCCCAACTTCAACTTTACTCTTATTCATAATTGACGTGATCGTCCCAGTTACTAATTTGTCGGTAAGGACCTAACTTTCTGAAGATAGTCACTCTTATTCATGACGACGGTGGCCTTACCTTTATCTGCCTTTGTAATTTCTATGCTGTCTACATTTTTGAACGTGTTTAAGGCTCTTCGCTCAGATGGTACAATGTTTGGAACCCTTGGTTGCTGGGAGGAAGCTTCTGGAATACAGACTCAACACTAGGAATGAACTCTTCTGCCCTTATAACGCCTTTACTGCAAAATCCAATTTTTTCTCTAACAGACAACGTTCCTCTTCACTTAAGGGTCTATCTGATAAATTGACTACACTACAATAGCTAGTGGATGACTTAACATTCTCTGCTGTGTTACTAGGACAGCGGGTGGTAGAAAGCAATTTCTCGAAATTACGTATTTGTCTGTCTTTGCACTGTTTACCTTGAGCTGATTTTACTTCCTTCGCTTTGGTATCTGATAATTCGAATTCAGTAGGCGAGAGTGCGGACTGGAGATCACGGTTGAGACGACATGAGCGGTGGCGGATATCAGTTAAACTTTGGGTGGTTAAATGGATCTTCCGTTTGAAGAATGACTTGGCCGTTGAAGAAGCTATTCGGGCAGAAGCGGGGGAAGCATCTGGTGGCTTAACAAGCAGATATTTGGGAATTATGTAATGCTTTATACATCCAATGTTGAAAATGCGGTGGCTCTATGCGATGGCCATATGTCCTTGCTAACGACATTGAGCAACATAATCTGTTCAAGTCGCATGACACTCGCATGGTTTTACCTCCGAACGATTCCTGTTTTACCTGTATATCATTAATGTTTTTCCTCACGATTACCTCTGGAGTAACTTGATCCATTAACAAGCAGCTGTGCAGCTGAGGAAAACATGATGTGACACCAGAGTGTTTGGTGTAAGTTTAGCACGTGCTATAAATCGTAAGTTGAGCTAGAGATGGCACGTGGGAATGTCAAATTTTGGTGGATATTGAGGCGAATGTTTTGACTTGGTTTAAGTAGAAAATGTGAGTGTATACTAACCAGTTAAATTTGTTTGACTACCATATCACCTGAACTGACCCTTTTCACATCGATTTTCAAGATTGTTGAGAGGGTGGTCACACAAACTCCTTAGTGGATCCAAGGAAGTCACACGTTCGAAAACTTTAGAACGACGACCCTTTTAATAATCCCAAGCACTTTGTAAACAATTGTGTAATATCTGGGCCCTGACCTTGGAACTTGGAATGGTTGATCTTTGAATCCCTGATCCCAGAAATGTGCGAGATGGGAAATTGCCCTCTTTCGAGCTACGCCCAAACCGCACCGATGCCCGGATTGACCTTTTACCATGTCAGCGTACTGCCGTCAGTTATGTGCATCCATCCGTCAACTCGTTGGCACGCACCGAACAGCCCCTCATCCCAGTTTTTCTGCCACTTTGTAGCATCTTGTTCAATAATTTTGGATTATGGGTGCACCCTTTCCGTCGATGGATCTTTAAAAAACCGAGATTTTGAACCAAGACAAAGTTCTGAAGATCATTAAGTGCTAAACGAACGCAAAAAGGAGTAATAATGGAGAAAGTATTTTGTTCCTACTTAGCTTCTTTGGTACTCAGGAAGTGGATCTGTCCGAGTTCGCCTGCTTGGCTTTCAACAGACTGCACAAATCTACACGGAATTTTAACGAGCATGTTGCATTTTGCAGATCAGTTCTGCTCTCTGAAAACACCAAATCCATGGTGCTAATCACGTCAGAAATGCTCAAATTGTGTGCATGACGGATATGTCTATGGATTCGACTATTTCAGCAAGAAGCATTATTTCGTAAATCACTTTTTTATTTTCAGTCACTTTTAGACAAACTCGGACCGGTGAACGAACCGTAGTTTGACCAAGAGTCTTGGACTAATATCAGGAAGGTGTTTCTGTAAGGTACTCTTATGTGTGAAAACTACGTTGATCGTCAACGCTTTCCAGGATAGATTGTAAGTTAAAAGATTCACTGAGCGGAACAGTTGCTTTTCGCTTTGTCAATTCCAAACTGAATCGGTCACCTGGGACGTTGCTTCCGACTTGTTTGTGTGTAATTATAGGCACAGCAATACAGTAGGGTATCTCGAAATTCCTTGCAGTTTAATTGGTCACAGGCTACGCCAGCTTACCGTTCAACTAGAAAGTTTGCGATTATCGCGCACGCTAGATTCAAGGCCCCAAATATGGTCTAGGATGCCAGCACCAATAGTGACCAATTAGCTAAGCTAAATTCCATCAATATGACAAAAAAAGTTCACGCTAGTTGAAACATTATGAGCTCCAAAATTATTCCAAATCCGGCACATTATTTCACCTAATTGGCCTATTTTCCGCAGCAGTTTGGGACCTGAAACAGTTTTTAGTCCATGAGACACGGAGGATCAGAAAGATCCCACGGGATTTGGTCAGTAATCTTCATAAGCGTACTGCCACTGGCTATCGCACAAGGAAATTAGTGCATCTGGAATTCCACTGGCGTGAGTACAAGCAGAAAACTCGGATTTGCAGGAACGCTAGAATATCATTCCGTCGTATTTCGTAACTATCCTTGGAACGTGTTTTGAAAAGTTGGAGGCAATCTCCTATTAGTTGGCAGCACCCTGGTATCAAACGACGTTTGATGATCAGAATCCAGGCCTTCGTTAACCTGAGTCTACAACATAGATTTATTTATCTGAAGAGATACGTTTCAAAAGCTTTGCTTGTAATGTCGGATTAAAATAAAAGCAAAAGAAACCAAATCAGTAAGAAGGACAGGCGTTGCGAACCCGGGTCTGTGAAACGGATTTACGCGATTATCTGGGTGGCTAGTTGGTGTGGATGGAGACTTGCGTTTTCATTGCGGGGCGCTGCTGTTGACAAATCAGAGGTTGAACGAGAGCGGCGGGATTAGTTGACGAATCAATGGCAGAAAGTAGTTGGGAAAAATCCGGCGTTGCGTCAAAGTCACGTGTGGAATCACGCGAGGCGTCTGGTTTGGACAGAGTAGCCTGCATAGGCGGACTATACCTCCATTGGTTGGAGGCTGGACAATATACTGAACAAGAGGGCTGAGGAAGCTCAATCGTAAGGAGTACCTCTAGTGTTCGCAGCATGTGGGCAGGGTGTTGATAGAATGTTAACGACATCAAGTCACGTAGTCTGTCGCCGACTATTAGAAGTGATCCAAAAGATTGAGCTACTTCCACACTTTTGTGGGCATATCCCGCGCCTCAATCTAACAGAGGGCTGATTGTCAAAATTCTCTGACTTTATGCTACCTACACCGCAGATCGACGTTCATGGTTCATAATTCGTGCAGACTGATAGCTTGCGGTTTTGTTAGAGTTGACACTTCGACTAACTTTTGAACCGTGAAAAAAAAACAAGGTAGCAATATGAAAGTTTTCACAGTAATGACTCCTTCTGTATAGGAGGTGTTAGTGCTATTGTCGTTTACTCGAAGTAATATCAGAAGGTGAATAACACTAATAATAAACGGTTATGGATAGTGGTTACCATAGACACTAGTACAGCTGAAAAATATACAAAAAGAAATAAGAGACTTATCGGGTTCTTCGTTTGATAAGTTGTAGTAGATGCAGCCGAGGTTTGTAGGACGCAGTTGAATTGAATGTGGGTGTTGACTGAGTGTGTTGAAATCTGGCCTGTTTCTTGTCGTTTCATCCAAAACGGTATCGAGCCCAGACTTTTCGTGCACAGTGAGTCGTGCGTAGGTTTCAACTGACTCTGGTCAAGGCGCGGTGTGAAGTGACGAGCGTCGGCATCCTGCTATCATTGTTCCGCATATATATAGGTTTACGTTGTGAGTGAGAATTCGCTTGCATTATTTGTCTTAGGATAAGCTTCCAATCTTCTTGATTAATCGTAGGTCGAATGTTCGTGACATAATCAAAACAGGAGTGAAACAGTGAGTGTGCATGCGTTAAACAAATTATGTGAGTGGTTGAAGATAAACATTGATGAGGCAGTAACCGAACTGCGAAAGCGGATGAAGATGAAGGTTGAAAGGATGGTAACCAACAAAGGATTTCGAGCACGGAAAATATTATTTTTCAGTTTTTTGTTAACCTGCGGAGCCTTTTCCTTGAGATATCTACTAACAGTCCAGAGAACTCAATTGTCTCATCTCCAGACATGCACACTCCCCATTACTTGGTGTCTTCTGTAATGATTGTTCATAAAACAGCACCGGTGAGTTTTATAGAATTTTGTACCAGATGCTTTTACAATGACTGAGCAACAATCAGCTGTAAAACGGAATCAGTGATCAGGTGTTCCTTCGTGTGAAATTAGCTAATAATAACCCCGAATTCATTTTGAATAAAATTTTTGTGGGTAAAATTCGTGTTGGAAAAATACACATCCAAATATTTCTGATTGGTATTCGATACAAAACTCACACACAATAATGTGTATTGATTGGATAGTCGAAAAAGAGAATCTTCTGTCAAGTAGCGTTCTACACGAGAAACATCTCGAAGTACTGTTTGACCATAATTGACTGAAATGTCACGTGATGATTTCATCAGATTACCCTCATGACTTAAATTTTACGGGCCAGAAGGGACCATTCCCACGGTCATTAGACACCATGAACTATAAACATCAAATAGCTTACAGAGTGCCTTCTAACTTAAAATGAAATGAGACTTATCGAGTTCTTCGTTTGATAAGTTGTAGCAGCCAGTGTTTGCGGGACGCCGTTGAAGTGAATGGGATCTTGACTGAGTGTGTTGAAATCTGGCCTGTTTCTTGTCGTTTCATCCAAAACGGTATCGAGCCCAGACTTTTCGTGCACAGTGAGTCGTGCGTAGGTTTCAACTGACTCTGGTCAAGGCGCGGTGTGAAGTGACGAGCGTCGGCATCCTGCTATCATTGTTCCGCATATATATAGGTTTACGTTGTGAGTGAGAATTCGCTTGCATTATTTGTCTTAGGATAAGCTTCCAATCTTCTTGATTAATCGTAGGTCGAATGTTCGTGACATAATCAAAACAGGAGTGAAACAGTGAGTGTGCATGCGTTAAACAAATTATGTGAGTGGTTGAAGATAAACATTGATGAGGCAGTAACCGAACTGCGAAAGCGGATGAAGATGAAGGTTGAAAGGATGGTAACCAACAAAGGATTTCGAGCACGGAAAATATTATTTTTCAGTTTTTTGTTAACCTGCGGAGCCTTTTCCTTGAGATATCTACTAACAGTCCAGAGAACTCAATTGTCTCATCTCCAGACATGCACACTCCCCATTACTTGGTGTCTTCTGTAATGACTGTTCATAAAACAGCACCGGTGAGTTTTATAGAATTTTGTACCAGATGCTTTTACAATGACTGAGCAACAATCAGCTGTAAAACGGAATCAGTGATCAGGTGTTCCTTCGTGTGAAATTAGCTAATAATAACCCCGAATTCATTTTGAATAAAATTTTTGTGGGTAAAATTCGTGTTGGAAAAATACACATCCAAATATTTCTGATTGGTATTCGATACAAAACTCACACACAATAATGTGTATTGATTGGATAGTCGAAAAAGAGAATCTTCTGTCAAGTAGCGTTCTACACGAGAAACATCTCGAAGTACTGTTTGACCATAATTGACTGAAATGTCACGTGATGATTTCATCAGATTACCCTCATGACTTAAATTTTACGGGCCAGAAGGGACCATTCCCACGGTCATTAGACACCATGAACTATAAACATCAAATAGCTTACAGAGTGCCTTCTAACTTAAAATGAATAGCGGTATGCTATTGTATTAAAGCAGTCGCCCTATATCTATCAACAGTGTTTCGTGAGAAAATCTTTGCAAAAAACAAACTAATCAGCGGCCATCTATTTCTGACAACACCACTCAAGTGTTTTGATTGAAAAGGTTAGGGTTTCGTTGTACTTGCTGTGCTTGTCAGTAGAGCTCAAATTCTGCGTAGTAAGCTCCTGAATATTTTGTCATTAGATGCTCATCCACCTGGTTGTTTGTCGGTCCGCTCGCGGAGTTTGGCAGTTGGAGTTCAAACGTTTCATCACCAATCGAGGGGACATGGTTGATGCGAGGTTGACTGATGTCAAGTCGGTGTCACTGTCGATCTCACCTAGATTAGTGATGAAACGTTTGCAATCTAATTACCAAGCTCTGCATACAGACCAACAACCGTACAGCGCACCCGAGCTACCTATATTCCACAACAGTGTTAATCCACCTACCAGTTCGCTGTGTCTAAAAGTTTTACCATGCGTTCTACCTGTCAATATTTTTACTGCGTGATCTTATGGGACAAAGATGAGGCTAAAGTGGGTCCCTTGAGGTGTTGCAGCTTGTCATGAACTCATTCGATGCATGATCTATCTATTGGAGGTAAGCACTTAACGAAGATATCTGATTGGTATGTCATGTGTATGCACATATATATACCGCATGGTGTAACTTGTACAGTGTGCGGACAAACACAATGCGGTACATATTGGCACTCGTCGGTTTGCTGTATTGTATCCAAGATGGTTCAGGCTTCCAATGGGTGAATTGTGGCAAGTCCCTAATCTGCCGTTTTGAAATATTTGAACGCTATTTTAAATAGGGGCCACAGGATGCAATCGTAAATTATGCAGCGAGGCTTACATTGCCTGCAGTTCTAATGTTGTCGAACCCCGCGGCCATAGCTGATTGCACGAACTGCTTTGCATGCAGAATGCTCTTGAGCTGATCAAAAGCTTCCTCAACGCTGTTTTACGCGCGTTTTTCTGTATTCTGCTCCGTTGTCAAGCAGTAAGACAACATTTTTGTCGAATAGAGAACCAGTGAGAACACGTATTTGCACTGTATCAAGCGCATCTTCTTGAAAACTCCACTCAACAACTTTTATGTTAAGTTTCATTGGATTGCAAAAAAGTTAAAGGATAAGGTAGCTCTACCTAATGACGCGAATCAGTTCCGTTTAGTTTCTTTAATACGGATTGCTTGTATATATGGTCGCACAGCTTGATACGAATTGAAAAATAATGCTGCTAATAGTATAGTTGGGTTTGTGTGTGTAATAAAACTGTGAAGCAAAAGCTCCGTGACCAGTTCACTATTATAAACACTCGGATCTTATCTGGTCGACTGAAATAGTCGGAATTCTTCTTACTATATACTGTTTAACAAAACCGACTCCGTTGTCAGAATTTTCCGAAAAGCTCCAGTTCCCCGTCACATGTAAAACGTTGTTCTGTATGGATACATTACACTCGACGCCGTGAAAAAGCGACGTGGTGCTTTTGGCTGATAGACGGCTGTTTGGTCATGTTCATATTAGGCGACCAAAGTTTTTTTTCCTGTTTTCACATGTATCCTTTCCAGCTCGGCAGATTCTCCTCTGTAGTTCGTTCACACGTAAACCGTTCTTGTTTCAGACAACCAAACAAACGTCGTTAAAGCTCTGTCAGTCAGTAGGACGTCAGCGAAGGACAAACATGGGCTGGTGAACATATCGGTCACAATGGAATTCGTACCAGGTAAGTTTACTTGTTTGAAAAATGCCGTCCAAAATAGCTGTGGTAATTCTGAGCACTTTGCAGTAGTCAGACGATGCTTTCGCATTTTGATTGCGTCTAAGAGGCACAAATGGAAGCAGTCAACTATGTAGGTGGCTTGAACCCAGGACTGTTCCAGAACGAATGGCGATCGAAATTATTCCAAGTTATTTACAGCAGATTTTGGTCTGGAGTTTGTCCCTGTTCTAGCCTGGCTTTCCCATGGAGGCTAAGTGGCGAGATATGTTACGAAGTTTTCTGCAGTCAGTTTGGGTAGTAAAACTTAGGTGCAGTAGTATTTCACCTTTCTCTGTGCATCTCGACTCCACTCCCAAAAGTCTATCCGCTTGAGCCTCAGCAACTGGAAATCTACTCAGCGTTTTATTCACATTTCAGGCTAACAAGACAGAGGTTGGGCTGTTAGTTAGCACTAGACAGGCTCTCAAAGCATCGTGAAGAGCTTACCTGAAGGATAAGCAGATACAACAGAAATCAGCGGATTTGCCGAATGCTGCTGAGGATAGGCCAGATCAAACTCTGCAAAGCGAATAAAATTAGACAGAGATTTAAGTAGGGGCATACACTGGATGGTAAAAATCGTTACTAACTACGACAGAGTTTACTGTGATGGTTTCTGTTTCATCAAAGCTGTGTAACCAGAGGCGTGAGGAAGTCAGTGGGATGGACTGTTCAACCAACTCACATGGAGCTTGGGTCCTCGTTCAAGGGACACGACACGTATTAATAGAAAGCACTTAAAGCGTGCAGGCAATAACTGGCTTTTTTCCAGCTTGATTCGGAAAGCAAGTGAGGGTAGCTTAGCGAGCTTCACAACCACATTTTCCTTATTGCGACGTGTCCAGATAAGGTAGAGCTGAGTCGTGACGGTCTCACAATGGGACCTTGATAAAATTCGCCTCTTCGTCTGTGCGTTAGGCCTTCCTCTTACTTAGCGTTTCTTACAGGAAGTATGACAGTTTAAGCACAGTCTGTTTAATTTTCCCTTTGGTGAGTGATATTTAGTAATGGATTGTTTACGTATCCATTGTCCCCTCTACAGTGTTTCGAATGACGGCCGATCTACAGTTGTATTAAATTGATTACATCTTGCAGTAATGGTAAGGGGAAAAGATAATTCCGCGAGTCTATGTTGTCCCTGGTTGTCGGCGTCATGAAATTGGGGGTGAACCAAGAGCTCGGGGCAGTGAATATTCTACTTTCTGATTGAAATAAGACTTTCATATGAAGGTAGCTTATTGATGGCAGTTGGCCTACATTGCAGTCTCGATGACAGAAGGAAGGTAACCATTTACACACTGTTTTAGACAATACTAGGCAGATGTTACTAGTAACAGTTTTAAAGTTTACTTATCCACCATTATTTAGGATGTATCCCAGTTACATGTTTCAGTCACTGTTGTCCCCAAATCGATATTAAGCTCGATTAATCGTTGACTGCAAACGTGCTAACGACTCACGTTCAATAATTTGCTGTTTTCTTTTCTTATAGCACATGATTTCGAAGACGTTCGCATCCAAACTTTGTCCAAGATCGATTGGGGAACGAAGAGGGAGCAACTTCCTTATCCAGACTATCTCGGGTGCAGTTCTATAAAGCCATCGTGCCCTATTAAGTCTGGTGTCAAGTACAGTCTAGGATTCCACGCAACCGTAGAGCTGGTGAGTACACAAAAATTTTATTTCAAATGGATCTGATAGATTGATACCATTCTCTCTTTGCAATGCTTAATTCTAGGCCTTCAAACAGTGTATACAGCAGTAATACGATGCTACAGTTGTTCAAGTCTGTCGCACAGAAGCCAAATAGTATGCTAGACGGGCAGAGAGGTGAATTGGCAGACACACCCACCCACAGACAGAGAGACAGATAGACATACAGAGAAACAGACAGACAGATCGACAGACAGACAGACAGACAGACAAACAGACAGACAGACAGA